ACCAAGAGCCCAGAAATAAACTTACATATATACAGACAACTAATATTTGGCAAGGAAGCCAAGAATATGCAATGAGGAAAGGACAGTCTTTTCAGTAAATGATGCTGGGAAAATTGGATATCTACAGGCAAAAGAGGAGAAGGAAATAGCAACCCACTCCAGTACTCTTGCCTGGAAAATCCCGTGGACAGAGGAGCCTGGTGGGCTGCAGTTCATGGGGTCGCGAAGAGTCAGACATGACTGAGCAACTTCACTTTCACTTTTCACTTTCATGCATTGGAGAAGGAAATGGCAACCCACTCCAGTGTTCTTGCCTGGAGAATCCCAGGGACGAAGGTGCCTGGTGGGCTGCCATCTATGGGGTCACACAGAGTCGGACATGACTAAAGTGACGCAGTAGCAGCAGCACAGGAAAAAGAATGAAATTGCTCCCCTATCTTACACCATACACAAAAGCTAACTCAAAATGAATTAAAATCAAACAGACGACCTATACTGCTATACTCCAGGAACAGCTCCTTGGTATCGGTTTTGGCAACGACGTTTTAGATAAGACATCAAAAACATAGGCAAAAGTAAACAAGTGGAACTGCATCAAACACAAAAGGTTCTGCACAGCAAAGAAAACCATCAACACAATTAAAAGGCAACCTATACAAGATGAGAAAATATTTGCAAACTGTATGTCTGATGCATAGCTAATATCTGAAACGTATAAAGAACTCATACAGCTCAATAGCATAAAAAACAAACAAATAATGCCATTTAAAATGATCAAATGTCTGAACAGACACTTTCCCAAAGATAACACTCATTGGCAAGAATGTCGAGAAAAGGGAAACTTTATGTGCTGTTGAACAGCTACTATGGAAAATATTATGGAAGTTCCTCAAAAAATTAAAAATAGAATAAATATGTGATCTAACAACCCCGCCTCTGTGTATATATCCAAAAAACTTGAAACAAGGATCTCAAAAAGAAATCTGCATCTCATGTTCATTGCAGCAGTATTCATAATAGTCAAGATACAAAGACAACATGCATCTGTTGATAGATTAATAGATAAAGAAAATGTGGTAGATATATGTATAAATAATGTAATGCCACTTAGTCACAAAAAAGAAAAAAGATCCTGCCATTTGCAACAACATGGATAACCTCGAGAGCATTATGCTGAGTGAAATAAGCCAGACAGTAAAAAAACTAATACCGTAGAGTGTCACTTATATGTGGAATCTAAGAGTCAAACTCATAGAAACAGAGATGGTTGCCAAAGATTGAGGGGACAGAGGGGAAATGGGGAGATGCTGGTCAAAGGGTAAAAAGTTTCAGTTATAAGATAAATAATTCCTGAGGATCTAATGTACAGTATGATAATTATTATATGTTATACTGTATACCTGAAATTTGCTAGAGTAAATCTTAAGTGTTCTCACCACACACAGAAAAAAAGTTAATTATGTATGTTAATCAACTTGATTGGGTAATGATTCTGCAATACATACATATAACAAATCATCACATTAAACACCTTAAATATATACACCATTTTATTTGTCAATTATATCCTAATAAATCTGGGGGGAAAATGAATAAATGGGATACCATTCAAGATGCCTGATCCTTATAAGTTCTCACAGAATGCTTGTTCTCTTCCCTAGTTGCACTCACCACCACTCCTTCTCTGGGTTAAGAGGGTAAGGAGAAAACTGGTAGCTAAACAGAAAGACAAATGATTCCAGTGGTGTATTTCACACTACTGTGTCTGACAAGTAACGACTCAGCTTTGAGTGGAATCTAGGGTGGTAGAAAATGCACCTGATTCAGAAAATCTAGGATTCCTATGTCCACACATTTCCAGGTGATTTTGGACCAAGGAATTTCCTTGACTATCAACTTTTCTTCTCTCTACATTAGAGTGATGTTCAATATATACCACTGGTTTGTTGTAATAATTAACACAAAAGATATGCAAGAGGACTTTGGCCACAATAGATAGGAAAATCTTGCAGTTATCTCTCAGGCTTTCGGGCTTCTCAACTTACTTGTAACTTTCCTGGATGACTCAGTTATCATTATGAGCATCCATCAGTTTATTAGCTGGTAGGGCAAATTGTTTCTAGAATACTTATCTTCCTTTTCTACAATAGTTGGCTTCCCTGGTGGCCCAGTGTTAAAAAATATCTGCCTGCAATGCAAGAAACCTGGGTTTGATCCCTGGGTTGGGAAGATCCCCTGGAGAAGGGAATGGCAACCCACTCCTATATTCTTGCCTGGGAAATCCCATGGACAGAGGAGCCTGGCAGGCTCAAGTCCATGGGATCACAAAGAGTCAGACACAACTGAGTGACTAACACTCCTGCAATACTGAACTACAATACTGTCCCACCTGCTCTATGTTTATTACTTTATATATTAAAAATGTATTATTGATCATCTACAATATGTCATAGTGGAGCCATAGCTAATAGGAAGACCTAACACTTACTTAAACAGAACTCACTACATGTCAGACTTAAAAGCATTTTATGTGATATATATATATATGTATGTATGTATATGTGTGTGTTATTCACTCAGTCATGTCCAACTCTTTGTGGCCCCATAGACTGTAGCCCGCCAAGCTCCTCTTGATGCAGGAAATCTCCAAGCAAGAATACTAGAGTGGGTTGCTATTCCTTTCTCCAATATATATGAGTGTGTGTGTGTGTGTGTGTGTGTGTGTGTGTGTATTTTTTTTTAATCTTTGCATCAATTCTATGATCTCTAATTTGCAGATGAGGAAACTAAAACACAAGTTAAATAGCTTGCCCAAGGTCACATAGCTAGCAGCTGGCAGAGTTAGAAATCATCTGATACAGTCTAATTCTAGAGTCTTTGTTCTAATTATTACATTATATCCCTTTTCAAAATAACATAATATCTTCCTTCATGGAGCTGCTGTGTAATAAGTGCCTCTCAACAATTCTAAGGAATTAGAGCTTTGCAGCTTCCTGAGAATTTTCACAATAGTGTTTCATTTGATTTTTTTCAATGCCCCTGGAGACAGACAGGGATAACATTAGCCTCTTGCAACCATTTTAAAGTGCTGAAAAGCATATCAAAAATTGAGAAGCAAACACTTCAGCTTGAAATTTTAACAAAGCTAAAATGTCGTATCATGGATTTTCTCCTCTCTCCAATAACACTGTACAGGGTTATTATGATAATCAAATAACATGATAGATGAGGAAATATTTTGTAAATTACAAAGAACTATATATTACCGAATAGATACCAGCAGCAGCAGCAATAATAGTGGTAGTTGTGGTAGTGGTAATTGTAGCAGTAGCAGCATTTTCAATGCCCACAGAAGTCTGAATCTTCATGCAGGGTTAGTCTAATCTAGCCTAGAGCCATCATCTTTATGGGGCTTCCCTGGTGGCTTAGCCATAAAGAACCCACCTGCCAATGCCGGAGACTCGAGTCTGATCCTTGGGTAGGGAAGAACCCCTGGAGAAGGAAATGGTAACCCACTCCAGTATTCTTGCCTGGGAAATCCCATGGACAGAGGAGACTGGTGAGCTACAGTCCATGGGGTCACAAAAGAGACAGACACAACTTAGAGGCTAAATAACAACATGACCTTTAGAGTAACCTGAAACCCCAAAGATCCAATTTTGGTATTAAACCCACAGACAGCTATGTATTATAACTATCTGCTAACCCAACTGTTGGAGGGTGTTTCAAACCCAACCATGAAGCCAGCCTACTGTTAGGAGTGACTGAGCAGCAAACCTCTGGGCTTTGTATCGCCATCTGCTAAATGGCTTCCCTGATAGCTCAGTTGGTAAAGAATCTACCTGCAATGCAGGAGACTCCAGTTTGATTCCTGGGTTGGGAAGACCCACTGGAGAAGGGATCGGCTATCCACTCCAGTATTCTTGGGCTTCCCTTGTGACTCAGCTGGTAAAGAATCCGCCTGCAATGCAAGAGACCTGGGTTCAATCCCTGAGTTGGGAAGATCCCCTGGAGAAGGGATAGGCTACCCACCCCAGTATTCTGGCCTGGAGAATTCCACGGTTGGCAGTCCATGGGGTCGCAAAGAGTCAGACATGATGAGCAGTTTTCACTTTTACACTTTCATCTGCAAAATAGCTGGTGGAAGAAATAACAGAAAGAGTCCTCTTAGACTCTCCTGTTGTCTTTGTGGTTTATCCCTCCACCTCGTTACCCCCTGTGCTCATATCCTATTTCTAACACTCTGTGCTCTCTCCACCACAGGCATTTTTTTCAATAATCACTTTGTGCCTGTCATTTGTCAGCATGCATATGGTGATAAAGGAAATCTAATTTCTCTTGAGAATAATCAGAGAATTAAGTCAACATTCTTCACCTAACACACAATGCTCCTCTATTACAATGTTAGTAGAGATCCTGAACCCACAGAAGTTTGAGATGTTATTAACACATGTGGTCAAGACCAGTAACCTTGTCAAGATTGCACAAAACTTTTTCTACAGCAGAAATTCTCTTTGATTCAAACCTGTGCAGTTGTATTCATTGATTTCATACATTTTGTGAAGCAGAAAGAGCTTGGGCTTTGGAGTCTGGCAAGTCTAAAATCTGAGTCTTGATGTATTCATCTGTACAGGGGAAGTAACGCCACTTACCTCACAGGGTTGTTCAGAACAGACTGAAACAGTGAGAGGGAATCCCTTTTCACAGAGCACCGGCCATAGCAGACGCTCAGTCGTCATTCCTTTCTCCCTGCACTCTCCTTCTGCCCTGTTTCACCCACATTTGAAACCCACCCTCAGAGTTTCAGAATTCAGCCCTTCATGCTTACTGGGATTTGTCAGACAGGAGCCTTGTTTTACTGTTTTGTGGGTAACGATAGTGATGTTGATAGACAACAACAATCACTTATATAAGTGTCCAAAAGCAATACGTTTTTCTTGTTTTAAAAAAAAGGGCACCAGGCGGGCGAGGTTCGCGCAGGCGCGCGCGGTGGCGGCGGCATGGGGCTGAGCCGAGTGCGGGCGGTCTTCTTCGACCTGGACAACACGCTCATAGACATGGCCGGTGCGAGTCGGAAGGGCATGTTGGAGGTGATAAAGCTCTTACAATCAAAATACAATTACAAAGAAGAGGCTGAAATCATCTGCAACAAAGTTCAAGTTAAACTCGGCAAGGAATGCTTTCATCCTTCTAACATGGGCATTACTGACCTCAGGACTTCACACTGGGAAGAAGCAACCCAGGAAACCAAAGGCGGTGCAGCCAATAGGAAATTAGCTGAAGAATGTTACTTCCTGTGGAAATCGACACGTTTACAGCACATGACGCTGGCTGAAGAGGCCAAAGCCATGCTCACTGAACTTTGAAAGGAGGTCCGCCTTCTCTTATTGACAAATGGAGGACGACAGACCCAGAGGGAGAAGATTGAGGCTTGTGCCTGTCAGTCCTGTTTTGACGCCATTGTTGTGGGTGGAGAGCAGAAAGAGGAGAAACCGGCACCTTCCATATTTTATTACTCCTGTGACCTCCAAGGGGTACAGCCTGGGGACTGTGTGATGGTTGGTGACACGCTGGAAACTGATATTCAAGGAGGCCTCAATGCAGGGCTGAAGGCAACAGTCTGGATAAATAAAAATGGGATGGTGCCCGTGAAGTCATCCCCACACCACATTATATCGTTTCTTCTGTGCTAGAGTTACCTGCCCTCTTACATAGCATAGACTGCAAAGTCAGTGTGTCCGCTTAAACACAGGAAACGGTATGCTTACGAATTTTAGGGTCAAATGACAGGGTTCCAGCTAAGAAAAGATAAGGCATTCTCTCTACTGTGACCCAATTATAAGGATAATTACAGTTGTCGTGTAATGGCCAACCAGCCATTGACTGGTATTTATATCTGAAAATCCAGAGTACAGTAATACAAGTTACTTTTGGTAGTGTCATCCAGGAAACTTTGAAGAAGTATATTTGTTAATCTGTGGCTTGAAATTTTTTTTTTTTAATTATTAATCTGTTAGCATCTTGGATCTCTGAAGATACCAAGGAGGATGATTTGTTCATGGATGCACAAATACAGATTTTATGTTTTGGCTTAAAAATTTAAAAAAATAGCTATTCTGAAACATATATAATAGAGATTTATTAGAGCAGTTGGATCTAGTTGATATGAAGTAAGTACCAAGTCACATGCCAATCAAAGCATTTCATAGTGAAATTATTTTAATATTTTTCTGTTTTAAAAACATGCACCATATTTTTGCCTACTTTGAATGTATACTTCTCTTATGAATCTAATTTTTCTGCCTTACCTTTTTGTGGGGAGAGGGGATAGTTTTCCTATGGTGTGTATGTGACCAATAAATTCTTCCAGTAAAAAAGCTGTTAAAAAAAAAAAAAAGGGCACCAAAAGTAAAAGACTTATAAAAGCCTGTTCCCAGATACCTCAGCCTCTACTGGGACATGAGGAGCAAAATTATTGTTCCTGATATTTATTATGACTTTCACAACATAATTCACCAATAGACTTTTGCAAGGCCATTAGTTGTAATGGCACCAGTTTTGTGCAAAGACCACATTCCAGTTAATTCTTATTTTTCAAATTGAAAAACGGTGTTCAGATTAGATTCCAATGCCAGACTTGTCATTAATTTGGAAGTCTTGACTAGAAATAGGCAACATTTAATGGGGGAAAAAAAGCCTCACTAAAATCTACTGTCCATTCAATATATGACACTAATCAATTAGAGATGACTCCAAAGTGTATCCATATAAGTAATCATTGTTCATGTAGTCCATGCAAAAATTAAAAGTGTTGAGCGATAGGCATAGCATCCAAAGACAATTGTGCAACAGAAAAAGAAGCTCCTTGTGTAGAACTAAAGTTTAACATTTGGTTTTCATTCTGCATCATTCAGTTTTACATGCATGGAATTCCCAGTAATATTGACGTAAGGAGAGCAGAGTATCAGTCACATCTACCAGACAGATGTGAAAATTGAATTTTTCCAGTAAGTTACAATGTAAAACAAAATACTGGTACATTGCAGGGTTAGATAGTGGAGGAGGAACACTGAGTGAAGATGAGGGCTGCAACTATAGCAACGTGGGAAATTGTGATTATAAAAATCAGAGGAAGAACTATACTGATAGAGATGAGTAAGGGCAAAGGAATCTTCCCCTAATGATTCAGATGTTTGAGACTGAAATATATGTAAGTGATAAGCTAGTGTTTCACCCACGCTACCACATAGGTAACGGTTCTCAGGCAGGGAAAGATGCTGTGATTACAGACCAAAGCCTGAGCACAGACTACTCTCCGCCGAACATGACTGTTGTTTTGATAAGAAATGCACTCACCTTGTAAACTTCACTTAGTTATTCCATGGGAGAATAAACATGATTAAAACCTCAGCGCACCCTCAAATTTCTTACAGTTTCACATGTGTTATAAGAAGTGCACATAAATAATTCAGTTTAGGATAGAGAACGGTCATGGTGACTTAAACAAATAATCAATAATATTTGTGTCATCATAATATTATTTCTTTCATATTGCTTTCACATATATTATCTCATTAAACCATCTCATAACTCCATGATGTAGGTATTATTAATGTTACTCCAATTCTATAGATATACTCATTGTAGTTAAATTCAGGTATGTGTCCTTAATTAAGCGTGGAGTGTGTGACCTTTTGGGGACTTAATTTCTGCTTGTAGTTGTTATTTTTACTCCTTATTCTACTTTTGAAATCCCCGTGTTGTTGCTCACATTAAAATATGCCTGAAAAGTTTATAAAAGGTTTTTCTTATGTATTATTTAAATCAGACAACTACCCTGTGAAGAAGTACTATTACACATATTTTACCTGTTTTATGGTGAAGAAAACTAGGACTTAGAGAAGTTGGTGTCTGGCCAAAATGTCACAAGTGGTAATAGCAGAAGGAGAGTTCTGGCCGAGATATTTTGATCACACATGGCTGTTTAGGAACTCAGAAGCTAAAGATATTATTTCTGACTATACTGAGTAGCATTTTGCTGGATCTTAAAAACTAAATAAGATCTTGGCAGAGAGAAGAGTAAGGCAGTGGAGGGACCATATCCAAAAAAAAAAAGAATGCAGTAGGTCACACAGTCCAAGAAAGCAACATTGTAGGATGTATTGGGATAGAAAAAATCAGGTTTCAGTCAGTGGGTGGAAAGTCTTAACTGCCTTTTCAGAAAGTTTGGAATTTATTCTTTGGGGATGGGGAGCTTTGAAGATAGATGATAATATATTATTTTTATTATTCTTTACTATGTTTTTGTCTTTAATAATGGCAAACGAATGTGCTTTAAGGAGGAGAGACTGAAGTCATGGTTGCAAGTATGAAGATTATTAGTATGGACAGGCAATAACAAAATTAGTATTAGGTATTGGCTATAGGAGACTCTCCAGGTGGTGCAGTGGTAAAGAATCTGCCTACAATGCAGGAGGTGCAAGAGACACGAGTTAAGTCCCTGGATCAGGAAAATACCCTGGAGGAGGGAATGGCTACCCAGTTTAGTATTCTTGCCTGGAAAATTCCCTGGACAGAGGAGTCCGGCAGGCTAAAGACCTTGGGGCTGCAAAGAGTAGGATACGGCTGAGTAAGGGTGAACGAGAGCATAGGCAGTCGGAATGAAAATCAGAATAATTATCCCTGTTTTGCAGATGAGAAAACTGAGGCATTGAAAAGACAATTTTAGATTTATGCAAGATTTCTTGTGGGTTATTATGGGCAATTAGATTTAGCAAATATGATGCTAAACTAATACTTTAAAGCATGGGATACAAAGTTTTGTCTCAGCTTGGACCTTCCTACAGACCCCATGCCATGTACCCTTTATTCTCAGACACCCCAAACTACACGTCAGATCCCAATGCACTCAGCCCTGTGTGCCATTCCAAACTGATATCTCTACCAGGAATCTTTTTCTCCCAGAGAACACTTGATTTATCCTCCATCCACAACCCTGTTTACTCTGAAGAACCTTCTCCAATGTTCCCAGTGTGCAGCTAAACTACGCCATATATTATTACATGTGTATCTATTACAGCATTAATCACACTGTACTAACATTTAGGTATGTGTCTGCCTTGCCTTGAAGCCAAAAGCTAAGTTGCAATCATCTTCATGTCCCTAGAACCTTAATATTTTAAGGACTGTATAGTTTACTGAATGAACATATTGAGTATCTTCATCATTAATAATCATAGATTAATTGATTCTAGGATAAAGGGACAGGGTATTGAGTAAAGACGCTATCTAACCCACTGGTTCCCCAGTCTCCAAAATGACATGGCAAAGACATGAATAGTTTGGGCCAGAATATATTTCTGAATTATAGTTTTGAATATATTGATAGAAAGGTACCTAGCTATATGCAAAGCAGTACAAAGAAGACACAGGTTCTTATGTATTTGATTTTTCAAATGGTTTTCATTTCTAGGACTCTCTTCCTACCACTGCCATTGCAATGCTGTCCTCTTTATTCAACCCTCTCATGCCTCCCTTGTCCCTTGCTCCAAACTGATTACCTGATCTCCATCTCACCTGACACCTTATTTTTTCTTTGCCTCAGCTGTCCCATGACCTAATTAGGCAGCTGAGCACCCAGCCCTGCTGCTGACTCTGCCTCACAGATGGAGTCTCTGAAAACACCCCATTCCCTGCCCTGAAAGGAGACTACAGTGGCAGTCCTGAATGGAAAGGCATTGTATTGCTAAGATCCGCAGTGCTCTGTTGCGGGGAGGGTGGAGTAAAAGGATTTGCATTTACTGGAAAGTTCTTTTCTCTTCATGGTTTACATCACATCAACTTTCATCAGACAAAGATATGCAAAAGTGAGATGTGAAATGATTCAGACATTTTTGACAAAGCACCATGCAGAGTAGACAAAAGAATGTATGTAAAGGGGAACATGCTCATTTCAAACTGTTTCATGTGCTCTTTGTAAATTTCCTGTTGTCCCCTCAAAGGACCAAGTGGGCAACAAGGTACTCTGGTATCTCAGTCAGAAGATTCAGAGAATGCATGTTTACCTAACTTTATTGGGCCTTTAGAGAGAGCTTTGGTGATATACTAATATTAATGGTTTTTAAGCTAGAAAGTCAAAGTTAAGTATAAGTTTTACTTGATTAGTTTATGCACACTCAGATTTGCAAATGAGTGATATTGGGTCATAATACAACATATAAACAAAATTTAAGAGGGAAAGCAAGAGTTAATATAAATTTGTTTCAAACTCCATACTCTCTGGAAGGAACAAGTTTTGCAAATATTATAAGTTCATTATACTGAATATCTAGGCCACCATAACCCTTCTAGTTATTAATAGTGTGAC